GTTGCAGAGGTATCACGGAATGGGGAATTTAGCTGACCGACCCCGCAGCGGTCGCCCAACTGTTTTGACAGCTGCCCAAAAGCGCTATATTAGATTGCTGGCAGCCCGTGATCCAACAATCAACGCCACTAAAATAAAAGCAGAAGTCAGGGCCGCCTCTGGGCTTGAAGTTAGCACGCAGACCGTTCGCAATTGCTTGCACCAGGCTGGATTACGAGCACGGAGGTCTTGGCGAGCTCCGCTCAATTCCCGGCAACGTCAACAACGAAGATTGCAGTGGGCTAGACTTCGGCAAAATGAAGAAGGTGAGGACGAAAACATTTGGCAAAACTGTCTCTTCGTTGACGAATCCCGAATCAGCACTCATCCAGATAACCGACGTGTCCGTGTCTGGAGAAGACCAGGCGACCGTGAAAGACAAAGAACTGCCACTGGAACAGTTCAGCAAGGCGGAAAATCGGTGTCCTTTTGGGGTGGCATTATGATTGGAGCTAGAACGCCTTTGATCCCGTATCGGGGCTTCATGACAGCAGACATGTACAAAGCAGTTGCTATTGATGATATCGTCAGACCATTCCGAGTAAACCATGGGCACCAATTTGTACTGGTCGATGATAATGCGCCCGCACATCGAGCTCAACGAGTCAATGCTGCTCTTCAAGAATACGATATCACACGATTAGACTGGCCTGCCGGCTCGCCCGACTTAAACCCAATAGAGCACGCGTGGGATGCTCTTAAACGAGCAGTATGGAACCGTGAGCCACGTCCCCAGACAGTTCCAGAGCTCAGGGAAGCCGCTATTGAAGAATGGGATAGGTTACCCCAGGAAATGCTGGATAACTTGATCCTCAGCATGCCCAGGAGGATCTTCGCATGTATTCGAGCCAGGGAAGGAGTTATTTTATATTGAATTCACACCTTTTAATAATAAATTGTTGTTTAAGTTTAATTAAACAGTCTTTTTCTTTCTATGAAATTTCTATCACTATTACATTATGATTAATGGCTCAATTTTTTAAAATAAATAATAAAAAATAGTTTTATATTTTAATTTCAAACAGGGTATTCCTATTTAAAGAAAGCATACAACATAGATTTTTTCTTGATAAAGTTAAATTTAACGAATTATAGGAGCTTATGCTATTGATCACAAACTTTTTTTGATGTGTGTATGTAGTTGGACATAGTTATGCAAACTATAACCAACCCACAAAATGTCACTTTCGAGATAATTAGATTTTTGTAAAAACAGTGTCAAGAAATAAATAGGTAAGTTAATTGAGATTAAAGATGCGGCGAGAACTCGTTTGCTACTCAGTACTCGGTGTATTCGGCCGAATAACTCGGTTCATGAGAAGAGTGCTCGGTTAAAATAAAGCATCACAGCTATAGACATAATAAAGTAAAATCAACAATATATTTAAAATATTCAAAAGAGATTTATTACTAGAAATAGTAGACAATTGTAACAATTTCTATATACAGTGCTTGCAGGTGCACATAAAAACACTCGTGCTAACTGTGCCAGTTTTGGATATTTTGTTTTATGCTCTGCCCACCATGGGAAAGGACTCTGCTCTCGCGACAATACACTTTCATTGACATATCGGCCTAATTCTAGAGCAACGGGGGCTTTTAGGATCATCGCGTTCCGATTGTAATGAACTGAGTAACTTGGCCGAGTACTCAGCTCGGCAAATGTTAAACCGAGTAATATTCGGTACTCGGTGACTCGGTAAAACTTGTACTCGGCGCATCTCTATTTGAGACAAACGATGTACTGTAGCAGTGAGAACGATATAGGGAAACTATTATATTATATAGTAACAAATAGAAAACATTATGTATCTTTTTATTTAGTTAACGAGAACCATGTACTAGTTTTCGTAATGAAAACGCCAAAGAGCTACAGTACTTCAGTACATGTGACATGGATCCGTTTAGCATATTTAAAAAAAGACATTATATGAAGTTAAGCAGCAAGGTTCTTTTTAGCTATTAAAAAGTTACTTATTTAGGGTTGGTACCCTGAAGGAGTTTTATTTTTCCGTTTTGGCTTGGTATATTGCCAGGATCTTATGTGAGCGGGTAAAGGACACGTCTGGTGTTCTACCTAAATACATAACTCAATTTCACTCGTGTGGATTGTTTCTTGTTTACATAACATGTCCAGTTCCTATATGCTTTGATATTTTTTGGTTTGACAGCATGTGTATATTTTAATTACAACGCCATCTGTTAGCGGCAATCAATATTACGTTAAATCAAACGGAAGGTCCAACTACCACACTTTTACCGCATCGGGGCGTATGGCGCCACCTTATTGGAGAAATTATAGTAGGTGCGTTATCGCTCATGGTCATCGACGCAAGGTAATCGACCCTTGTCAGTGTCTTAATTGATTAGAAATGAAATAAAATCTTGAAGTGAAGGTATTTGTCTAAAAGTGAGAATAAAGTTAAGAGTAAAATTGTATTAGAAAAAGATAAGCAGTATTTTTGTAATGACAATATTTTATTACATTTAATAAATATTTTTTCAGAATTAGCAAATATTTTGAGAAATTGCTCTTTCTTATTAGTAGAATTCCTTTTTTTCTGTGTGGTCCTCCCAAATATAAACGTAATATAATATATAATTATATATTATAACGTCAGAGTCGACACGCTAAGAAGATCTTAAATCTGATGCGTTGAGTGCAATGATGCAAAAAACGCTCACACTTCGTTTATCAACTACGTCGCGAGTACGTTCCTCACGGACTAACATTCCATTCACACGGCATTGTACTGCTCGTTTTATTGCAGTATACATCTTACCGATTAAACAGTGGTGTATACATTAGATATACGGTCCACACGGTGTTTGTCCTGCTTTTTTTCATAATTTCTCAGATTTTCGTACAATGTTTGTACGCACTGCTCTTGATTCATTGGATGAACCCAGTACCTTCTGTTCTCCCGGCGGCAAAGCCGTTGGCGTCTTCTATGTCAATATAAAAGTGCAACAAAGCATGGATCCATCACAGATGCGTTCTCATGTGAATACTGCGGTTACCCGTCTTTTAAACGCATGAAAATATATCGTGTGAACACCCCGCTATCTATCCGTTTATAATCGTTAAAAATCGCGCAGGACAATGCCGTGTGAAGCAAGGCTAAGTGCGCCACGAAACGACAGGTCATATAAGTGTACTTTATCGCACGAGCGTACTAGTAACTTGAAAACTCCGCTTATTAACATTAAAGGTTTAAAACATCGTAGAGCATTACAATTTTCCGTCATTTATAAATCAATCGATTTTATGACAGTCTTCAACTATGAACTTAAAATGTTAGACAGTTTTTGTACTCTGTTTAGAGTATATTGGTGATCAGTAATGAGACGGAAACTCTTAGATTAATAATTAATAATAGAGTTGAACACAATATATCGCTGATAAAGGTAGCGAGTAACTCGTCAAGAGTCGAGTGTTCGCTTAACAAAATCGACAACACTGACAGCTCTAAAATAGACAACACTGACTGCGGATTCACTCTGGGCATTTTGGAGGGAAAAGTGTCGTTTTTATTTTGACTTTCAATTATTTTGTGAAATCTTGCTTAAAGTGGAATAGGATAGTGCTATTGTGCCTTAATCGAAGATTAAAACGCGAAATTATACGAATCTCGAACTACAATACCCGTACCGGCCCGTTTTAAGGACTCCCGAGTCAATCCAAGCACGCCGCCTCAAATTGCCTATCCTGTTTGTGGCGGCCATATTTACAGAAACATAATTAAACTTCTTGTTTAGGCTTATGGCTTTGCCAAAGCCTTAAAAAATTTAAAAAAAAACACTGACTGCCAATGAGAGGTCTAATTCAGATTGTTATGAAAAAAAAATCATCAAATTAAATAATATACATTTTTGCCAGTAAATTATTGTCAGGCGTACACAGGCGTGTACACTTCCTTTCTTAGTAGTAGTGAATTTCTAATGTTGTTTATAAAGTTAATTTCATTTTTGTGTTCTATAAGTAGTGTAGCCAGATTATTTGCGCCCGTAACTGTACAAACAAAATGTGTGTTATCTCGCCAGATATACTTTTAGCTGGAAACCACAAAAGGAACGTGAGTAGATTGGAATACGAGAAAATGGGAATCGGGCTTCGAACCAATCAAATACAATGCTTATTGTAAACATCCATGCATTCTTTCCTAGCATGGCGTAACATTAATAGTCAAACAACATATAATCTAAACTTAAAAAGCCTGTTTAATATTTTATTTACATTTTTAGGCAAACTACAATACAAAAGGTGGCAATTATCATGCATTTGGTGTAAAAATACAACCTCTAGCAATCATAAAAATCCCATCAGCCAGTAACACGTCTTATCCATATCAAACGTAATCGACATTTTTAAGCGAAATTAAGTTCGGTTGGACGGAAGATCGGTTGGAAGGTTGCAACCCCTCTAATTGGTATTTTTATATCTGATTCATAAATACTAGTTACTAGCTGGTTAATAGAAGCAGTAGAGCTCCGAGTGTCGGGCGCAGTGGCAGTATCCCTGAGATCTTTGTGATTTAAAGCTCTGAGTGCCACTGCAACTATTATGGACAGGTGTGACGCTTACCACCAGGCACACGACACGACTTGTTCGTCCCGTCACTTAGTGCATTTTATTGAAGTTATTTAGTTTCAGTTTTATTATTAATCTTCAGCGTAATTGATATTTTTTACTAGCAAAAAATAGTTCAGTGCCAATATCTTTACCAACTGCAAATACGTTAGTTGTGACAAGGAGGGCAGAACAATTTACCGTTATGAAGATTTATTGCACACACAAGTTAACGTATTATATATACATTATTGTACAATAACGGACACAACATATTCATGTTGAAATTTAAATGTAAATTTTTCCTTTCGTGGTCTAAATTTAAATTGCTATATGAAAAAGAGACCATCTGTATACTTACCTACTTAGGTTATAATGTTAGCATTTACCTTTATGGTGTACCTACCTCTTTCTTTATCCTTTCAATGTCAGCCTCTGCGTCGTTAAATTCCTTAGAAACGTTTTTCAACTGATCACGAAGACCATTGAGCTCAGCACGCATTGCACGTTGCGCTTCGCACAACAGCGCGCGCCTAGAATCCAACTCGCTCTCCAGTTGCAACACTCGCCGTCTAGCCTGCTCTTCTTTGAACTACAACCATGTTGTACAAAACGTATGCTAAGTATTAATTCATCGTTACTGCGTCAGTCACGTTACAGTTATGGAACCCGGCTTTAGACATATACGTTTTATCACACTGTTTTTCTTCAAAGTGCACATAATTTGAAACCAGGTTTAGAAATTATCAGGATATTTATTTCCTTTGATAATTATCATGATAACTATCTGATAATTATCCATGCTAAAGCTATGCATTAGCATATTTGGGTCTTTAATTTTTGACCTAAAATGACAAACAGTAAGAAAACTAAATAAAGATGAAGAAATATGTTTGGGGCAAAAGATTTGATTAGTGACTTTTTTGAGATTGACATTTGACACAATTGGATACGTCTCGGGTACAAACACATGGAATGACGTTGCTAGCGGTAGCATTTCGTTGCTCCAATTAATTTTACAAATAACAAGATAATTACCAAGGTAATTATTGTGATAATTACAATAATAACTATCATTATCACTTCTCTCTCTCTCTAATTATGACAACTCTGAAACTTTCCAGCTCAGGATCAGATGGAAATCACACCCAAGACCCTTAACTTCAAACTGTTCAATTGAATATTGAATTGAAGCAAGTCATTAAGTACAAGTCATTAATTGAATGAGCACCATTGGAGCATGCTTGATTTAGTAACTAGTAGAGAGCGGTTCGCTCTCGCGGTCTGCGAACTAAACGATAGACTTATTTAATACAGAGTAACTACTCTGTAGTAAATAAACGATCATCATAGAAAATTGTAAAGATTTTTTAGCTTAATTCGTTTTCGGTTTTCGCGATTGTATAACGCGAAAACCTAAGCACTCGATGTTTACTATATTTCAAAACAATATTTATGTACAATTATAATAACGTCTTCATATATCTTAGACATATTGGATTTAAATTAACATCTTTTTTTTATGTAATGGTTTTTATTATAAATATTCTTTAAGTTATTTTTATTTTTATTAACAGTACCTACATTTAGTTTTATTTTGCATTAGACAGATGAAAATTTTTGACCTTTTATCAGGCACCATTTCATTCGGTCATCTTGTAATCTATTTAATAAAAACCGTAAAACAAAATTCTCAAACATATTTAGGTATTATGGTACCTTACAATTGTTACGCATTTTTTTACACGTAGCATAATCTATTTCAAAGTCTTGCACTATAAAAAACTTGAAGAAACAGTTCCGCTGACAATTTTATTATACGCCATCGAGTCATATATACTCTAAGTCATCGAATATATAACCAGAAATAGAGACGAAATGTCATTTAATTTGTTTGAAAACTATACTGCCAAACCATTACAGTGACAACTGCACTCCGATTGGCCAGCCCGAATTCGAAACAATTGACGGGTGTCGTAAATTGTTTCACTTCAAATCGACCAGTTTAACTTGAGCTTTGCTATAATGGACGAAAATTGGAAAATTACATATTTAATTAATTAGTAATGAAATGTGATTTGGTTTTTTTTTTTGTAATTAGTAGTTTTGCTGTTTTTCCCACACTACCGAAAGGAACAGCCCTCCATTGTTAGATGTATTTATTACAGTTATTACAGTTATTTATTACATTATCTTTATTACAGTAAATACAGAATATTCTTGGAATACACGGAGACGCACACACACACAGGTCAGTTGCTGGCGCTGTACTATTTCAGCTTTCTGATTTGTGATTTCAGCGCAAACGAGAGTTGATATTTAAAAGTAATATAAGGCCCACTTGCCTGACGAGTTGCCAGGGATGGGTGACCCTTACTTCGTCTCTATTTCTCGTTATATATGTTATACGCATACATTATATAAATTTATATATAAAGCTACAAGTTCTTACTCACTGATACAAATAGAACGCATACTTCCCGATATGGTGGAAAAAAAGATATTTATACCGTTGTAAGCGGATAGATTCCAAAGCAAAGAATCAAATATGAGAAGACCTAAATGTGGAAAATATGAAAGAGTGATCAACGGCCTGCAAAAACTATAATATATGGAGGGACTATTTGTGCACTTTTATGACACCCTGGTCAATTTCCGCCGGAAGTAAAAAAATGTTCGAAATTCAAATAAATAAGATGGCCGCCATTCAAATTTCAAAGTCTCCTATCACGGAAACTATTAGAGATAGGTAGGAGGTGCTCGAAAGAATGTCATAGAGATTAATAGTGGTCAAGTGCCTGGGTTAAAAAAAAAACATGATGGCGAATTCAAAATGGCGGCTGAAGAAAAACTGGCTTCGATCCGGCTGAAAATTGATATGCAGGGGTTTTATGAGTCCTTAACCATAATTTGGGGTAAAAGTTTATTTTCGCCATTTTTTAATATGCCTGTCATATAAGCGTTTTTTTCGTCAAAAGTGGCTGCCGAAACGGACTTGCTCTGATTCAGCTGAAAATTGACATGCGGAGGCCTCTAGAAGTGCCGAATAGTAATTTGTGGTCAAAATTGGTTTTTCGCGATTTTCAAATATGGCCGCCTTAGAAGCGTTCGTTGTGGCAGAAAAAAAAATGCTCTGTTCCCTTTGAAAATTGGCATGTGTGGGTCTCTAGGAATGCTTGATAATAATTTGTGATCAAAAATGGTTTTACGCCATTTTTTAATATGGCCGCCGTTCAACAACTAACAAAAAATTAGTTCTAATTCAACTGAAAATCGATATGTGGGGTCTCTATAGGTGTTTGATAATAATTTGCGGTCGAAATTCATTTTTCGCCTTTTTTCAATATGGCTGCCATACAAACTCTTTTAGCGCCAGATAAAAATTTGCTCTAATACGATTGAAAGTGGACATGTCGGGGTCTCTATGAGTGTTTAATAATAATTAGCGGTCAAAATTTAGTTTTCGCCATTTTTCAACATGGCCGCCATACAAACTTCTTTGGCGATAGATAAAAATTTCTTCTAATTCGACTGAAAATGCCATGCCTTCAATCACAATTTGGTTTTTGTTTCTGCCGTTTTTCGATATAGCCGTAATTTTTATGTAAATGGCTATTGAAAAAACTTGCTTTGCTCGGACTGAAAATTGGCACGAAAAGATTTCTAAGATTGTTTGATAATAATTAGTGGTCAAAATATATTTTTGCAATTTTCAAATATGGCCGCCATTAAAGAGCTATTTCAATTTCTGTATAACAAAACCATAAGTGCTGAGGCCGGAGGCCGAGGTCCGCGGAGGGCGAAGCCCGAAGCGTCCGCACGCCATCAAATGGAGATAGTATACGGAGACGTAATAGATTACAAGATCTCACAATTGTAAAAATGAAAAGCATGCTTCCCGAAGTGGAAATGACTGAATGGAACTTCCGTAGTGGAAATGAAATACTTATTATAGTGTTGTTGTATCTCAACCGTCTCTATGTTAGATTATAGTGTTGTTGTATCTCAACCGTCTCTATGTTAGATTTCATTTTCTAGAAAGCTATGCCAAAGAAAAGTTTTTAGGGGGAAAAAGTGCCAAACTACTGCCGAATTTCCTGTACTATGTAGGTACTATGAATACCAAATCAGCGATAACCCAGAATACTCAGACCAAAACCAACTTAGAAATGTTCGTTTCTTAAATTGACATAAATCGGGAATCGACCTCCTCATCAAGCGCCCATAGTACTAACTGCTGTGCCACCGGAGAGCATAAGCACACCCTGTAAACTGAAACCGACCACGCGCCGCAGGCCGAGCCCGACGCCACCGTAGGTGGGGTACAGGACTCGTATCTAATATGGACTCTATAGGATAGGGGTTCGATGAGAAACGTACGCTGCAGTATACTTATAGATAGGTTACTACAGTAACACAGTATGATACTTTAGATTAGGTAATTCACTTATTACTAACTAGAAGGTCTCGGTCCAACTGTGAGGCTTTGCACTGCTCTTCGGCGAGCATGGTATCAACTTTTGTCGACTCGTCGTTGTATTTCAACCGATCTAAGCCGACCGCACAGAACGTCTTTTCAACGTCCTCAAGACTCTTCCTCGAAACATCCACCTTTATAGCATAGTCTTTAATCTGCGCTACAAGCACCATGGTTGTTTCTTTAAAACAATTCCTATCGCAAATTAATTTCTTAATCTGAAACAAAAATAACGATAATTAAACAGAATTAGGTGTTAGCTTCATTGGCATCATCCTAGCTACGTTTAAACAATTACTACCGACAAAATTTTATTTATGTGAAATAATACAATGCTACAAGCCGTGGTACCGTAATGGTTTTATCTACCGCATCTCAAGCAGGGGCTGTGGGTTTGAATCCGGGCTAGGACCTCTAAGTTTCTTGGAATTTATGTGCCAAATAAATTTTTTTATAACATCAAGTGACGGGACGAACAAGTCGTGCGCGTGATGGTTACACGCCTGTCCATAACAGTTACAGTGCCACTCAGAGTTTTAAATTGCAAAGATCTGAGGGGCACTACCACTCTGCCCGTCACCCTGAGACATAAGTTGGCAAGTCCCATGTGTCTGTAATTTCACCAACACTAAGGGTGTTGAAAACCGGAACACAGTAATGCTGACATTACTGCTTGATGGCAGAAATAGGTAAAGGTACCGTCGTACTACCCTGGACGAACTTTTTCACAAGGAGCTCTAGTGCTACTAAATTTAAATTAAAAAAAATTTGAAATTTACCATGAACTGAAGGATAACATTGTGATGAACCCTGCAAGTCGAAGAAGGTTCACAACCCTCGGAAGACGTGAGAAGTCCCCCAACCCTCATTGGGCCAGCGTGACGGGCTATGATCTAAACTAGAGATGCGACGAATATTCGGCTACTATTCGGTATTCGGCCTATTCGGCCACTTTTTTATATTCGTATTCGGTCGAATACTACAACTATTCAGTCGAATACCCAATATCAAATAATGAAAAAAAATCAGTGGCAGGTTGTGAGGAATGAAAATAATTTTTTCAGCATTGGTTGGTAACACGATTGCGGTTTTCGTCGTAAACAATTCCTGCTTCTGAAAATAGCCTCTCACTATAAACATTACGATGATGAGATGTTTGGGTATATTATCCATATTGCATTTTTTTTTAAAGTCGTGTCCGCCATCTTGGTTTTACAAATAAGTGCTATATTTGTAATGAGAATCCCCAAATACCTCGAAAAGGATACCCATATTGCATTTTTTGGAAAAATCGAGTCCGCCATCTTGGATTTACAAATAAGTGCTATATTCGTAATGAGCACCCCCATATACCTCGAAAACGATACCCAACTTGTCATTATTAGAAAAATCGTGCCCGCAATCTTGGATTTAGAAATGAGTGCCATATTCGTGTTGAGCATCCCCAAAAACCTCGAAACGGATACCCATATTGCAATTTTTTGAAAAAACGTGTCCGCCACCTTGAATTTACAAATAAGTGCTATATTCGTAATGAGCACCCCCAAATATCTCGAAAACGATACCCAACTTGCCATTATTTGAGAAATCGTGCCCGCCATCTTGCATTTAGAAAAGTCGTGTTAGCCATCATGTATTCAGATATAAATGCCATTCCCATAAGGATTACCAAAAATAAACTTTTGAAAATTCTTGACAACCATCTTGGATTTAGAAATTAATGCCACATTCTCAATAAGCACTCCCAAACAACTCGAAAATGTCTATAATTCTCGTTGTCGATCGACGATGTCCATTATACGTTGTCGCTTATAATAATACGTTCTGGTATTCTTTTTAATTTTTTTTTATTCAGTTTTAACAAAATAAGTGAAAGTAACGTTTCTTCGTCAGAATCCATCGTGTAACTGAGTCGAAAGATAAAATATCACTAAAAATTTGGTCGCGCGACCGCCGCGCGGTTGCAGTGCGACCGCCGCGCGGCTCTAACAGCGGCTAATTCGAACGCGCCCTTATACAGCACGCGCGCAAAATGCATAGATGTAAGGGCTCTTACACATAAACACGATACTAGCGAACCCTAAGGGCTCCTACACAGACGACGTCGCGTCGTGCTATCGTGTTTATGTGTAAGAGTGTAAACCATCATCCGTGCCTAACATGGAGACGCATAAATGGGTTAATAATGATTAATAACAAGCTAGTTGTGTAAAGAATGATGATTTAAAACGTTGTTAATATTATTCTGTTTACGTGGTGATAATAATCAAACAAACGCATTTTTTATTATTTATTGCGGACAACTCAAATGAATATTGGAGACGTAGCTGACGGGAAGTTGGTTAATCTACGCTCAAACGATGTAACGAGATTTGATTATGCGTTCATGTTCCTGCAGTGCATTTGGGTAGTGCCATCACCAGCCGGTTTTATTTTTATATATATTGAGGCTAATAAAAACCCATAAATACCTTTATAGACTAACAACCATAATCATATAAAGAAAACCTTAACACTATTATTAACTGCTTCCGTGGCCGAACGGTTGCCTTGCCTGACTGCCACGCAGAGGTCCCAGGTTCGATTCCCGGGCCGGGAGAAATATTTGTATGGCCTACATTTATTTCTCACATGAGTTTGGGTGTAATTTGAGGTTATCTATGAGTGTTGCCATGACACAGGGTTTCCCTAGTGCGGGGCGTGCGTGTCCTGTAACCGTCCTGGGAAATTTAACTTGAAAACTAGGAAACGGCAAAATTACACCCTTCTGCCAAAAGTCCTCCTTCATGAAAGTCGACAGATGTTGAGTTGGTACTCTCACCACAAATTAATTAAAACTCACATTGTGGTGGACTTTATAAAGGTGAAGAATGTGCAGTAACTTATTCCGCATTTTGAGGAAGGTAAACCATTTTTAATGCTTTTTTTATATGATGTAAAGTGACGGGACAAATAAGTCATGCGCCTGAAGGTAAGCTACACACCTGTCCATAACAGTTGCAGTGCCACTCAGAGCTTTAAATCTCAAAGATCTCAGGGGTACTGCCACTGCCAAGTCCCACGTGCCTGTAATTTCACCAGCACCCATACCCTTCAAAACCGGAACGCAGTAATGCTGACATTACGGCTTGGCGGCAGAAATAGGTAAGGTAGCAGTATTTCCCTGGACAAACTCTTTCACAAGGAGCTCTGTTGCTACTAAATAACTTGCAACTTGTTACAAAGAAGTAGCAAAGTACGCACTTGTCGGGTGGCATCCTGCTCCTTCTCGAGCGCTACACGCAGACGCCGCTGATAGCCAACTTCGAGTTGACGCCAAGCGCCCTCAGCCCGCTCCAGGAGCTCGACTCGCTCGGCCTCACGTTGTGCCAACTTTGCGGCGCGCGTGCGCAATTCCTTTGTCGATTGGTCCAGCGCCGAAAGACGCGAATTGCATGCTAAATCTAGACAACAGGCCTGAAATAATTTACAACAAAACGTAGAGTCGTAAATTAGAATCAACATCAAATTAAAATTAGGTACATACGGCTACATGTTGGTACACATGCCCACAAAAGTTTCCTCTAAAAAAATTAAGAATATAAAACCGACAATTTCATGTATTGATTGTTTAATTTATTGTTACTATGCGTAGATACGATGTAATTATTTACAAGCTATATATTTTCATGATACAGAAGGTATTACTAAAATTATCGGAGAAAGTAAATGATAACATAGCGCCCGAATCAGACCTTATTTCTTTTGCTTTGTCAATCACGCACTGCACATAATCATATTATGTTTGTATTATTAGAGCATACACCATTTGAGGACTATTTACGTTTTCTATAGACTCATTCAAAGGCAATGCCAGGTATTGTCCCTATACTAAATTTGCATAGTACAATGAACAAAGATGTTGATGATGTTTTCTACATTTCTAGTTCTAAAGTATAAGTTTTTAAAAACTGCAACAAGTTCTGTATTGCTACTACACTTAGTGTAGGCGTACGTGTTATTGTGACAATATAGAACTCACAGAATTTCCTGAATAGGGCACCTTCAAATTAATTAAACGCATACAAGAAGTGGAAGCCCAATCGCAGTGTATGTCGTGACGCGCGCGCACCACTTTTGCAGTAGGTAACAATTAGTGACGTAAGACCTAACGCCACAGTTGTGTCACTGCAGCGCTTCTATAAGCGTCTAATTTGAAGACACCCCAAGGCTCAGAAAGAAAAATAAGGGAGTTTGCATAAAAAACTGTGTGGTTTCATTTTAATATTTGCATACTCATTTGTTCACATCATATACCTGATCAATTTTTGCCTGTAAGTCTTCATTTATTTTAGGCTGCTTACTGCTTGTTGATGAATCTTTATTAGACGCTTTTTTTGCACAACAGTTTCCTATTAGAGATCCGTCTACTCGCATGACGATTTTTGCGTCCACGGGCAATTTAACCACAGGTCCCACACAGGTATTGTTCTCGCATTTTGGAATATCTTTTCTTGAAAAATGGGATTCTTTTTTCTCCGCTGCGACATCTTTAGATGTAAACGACACTTTGGTCTTCTCGGTACCCTTGTTCTGCTCAAAATCTTTGTCCAGATCTTTTGACGTACAGCATTCGTTCGCGGTTCGCGATAAAATTAAGCTAAAAAAAAATTGAAGATTTTAAAACCGTGTTTGTTTATTAAATGATTGTCACCAATTGCAGGTTTCTTACCACGGCATGATTTATTTTTATTTAACGGTTACACGCTCTATCGTCCCTGGTTGAGTGAATAAAACACCGGAGAAAAAATAAGAAACCTCTAATTAGTGATAATCATTTATTATAATTGGACATTATTAATGATCGTTAATTTCATATAGCTAACTTGTAATTTAACCATAATTATATTCGGTTATAATTTGTCTCAAATAATAGTAGAGCTCCTGGTGAAAGGGTTCGATCAGTACTGCCTACCTTGCCTATTTCTGCTGCCAAGCAGTAATGAGAGCATTACTGCGTTGTAGTTTTTAAGGTAAGGGTGATATTACAGACACGTGGGCCTTATCAACTTATGTCTCAGGGTGACGTGCGTAGTGGGAGTGTTTCTCAAATCTTCGCGATTAAAAGCTCTGAGGAGCACTGCAACTGCTATAGACAGGCGCGCGTGTCGCTTACTACCAGGCACACGATATGATCGTCCTGTCACTTCGTACCATAAAAAAAAATAATTATACGTTTACAGTTGGACGTAGTTAAACAAAAATTATCCAATCCACAATGCAAGATATGGCAGTTCTTTACTAACTTGGAACCAGGTTTAACACCAGACAAGAACAAGAACAAGTGAGATAAAACTTCAAACAAAAAAGATATCTGAAGATGTAATTTTACTAGCAATCTATGGAATTCTATCGAAATTTCAACGACACCCAATTGATTTCTAAAAATTGGTTGTGGCAATACTGCTGTGATGACACATATGCCACTCTGCCACACGGGACGGTTACAGAAGACCGATGATGAGCATTACGACATTATCGACACACTTCAAGATATACAGACTCCAAACAAATGAGTCAATAAAAGAACTTACAATTCTGCTATCAGAACGTAAAAAGGCACAACTAACATTTCTATCAAAATTGAGTCAGTCAAAATCACATAATCTTTATGTCATAAGAAAGCAAATTACAGTAGAAATCGTCTACTTGATTTTTTGTTTTTTTTACACACACATACACTCATAGCCCCGCACTAGGGAAATCCTGTATCGCGCGTGTCATGGACACATACATAGGGAGACAACCAGAAATTACACCCAAACTCACGAGAGAAATAAATATAGGCCGTACAAACATTTCTCTCCGCACGGGAATCGAACCCGGCACCTCTGCCTGGCAGTCCAGCATGGTAACCGTTCGGCCACAGAGGCAGTTAAATCTTGATGAAACTCCACTGCGTCAAAAACACAAATGTAAAAGAAATTTAGTTTAATAAATGTAATAACTTTCCTTATTGTGTAGTTCAATTGTAATAATTACTTCATAAATAAAACAAAAAGGCACCACTCACTATAATTCAGCCCCTTAGACATAACATTTTTGTTACTAAATTAGAAGAGTTTAATTAAAATAGTATGAAGTTTTCTGTATAAAATAGGTATGTCTTATGCGTACTTAACATAAATAAATGGCTTAATATCCAAAATATGTTTTATAACTATTGTTTGTATAAGAAAAGCCTAGAAAATTGAGAGACCGATATTCTGAGTGAGATTCGAATTTTGAGTTTGTAACTTGTGCCTCCCTTTATTTCGAAGACCGAATAGAAGAAAATACTAAAAAAACATTATAAAATAGGAAAACACAAAATTGCGCGAAATAATGAAATTCCAATCTTAGAGCGGTTACACACGCTCGAGACATTAAGCAGCGATGTAAGCGCGACGCAAACGCGATACAAACTGCAATTTCAAAATCAATCTTATTCATTCATCCTCATAATTTATGCATCCATTTCTCTATATTCATCACTACATGCTCTCCCCCAACCCAATCACTATTATATTCCCCGCGATTAAATTATTGTTTGTTAATTACATCCCTGTTACATATACATTATTTAGGCACCACTTTGCCGGTATCAATTTATTTTCTTATTGCCAACCTCTGGACAACCTACGTTTTCAAAAATAAATTAATTATAATTATTACTATTGAACCGATGGGAGAGAAAAGGTGCGGTGAAAAACATTTTCACATTAAAAATTTTAATCCTAACCATGACATATTTACATAAACAGGCAATGAGCATGTGCAGCCATAATGAGTTAGCTGAACCCACATCACATTTTTTTCTAATCTGCAAGGTATTTGCTACCGGCATTTAACCATTAAAATGATGAAACCTGCGTCAAGATTTCTTAGTTACCGCAATTAGTTTACTTTTAAGGTTGATCAATTGCCTGGATGATGATGGATTACTTTCTGTCAACGCGTTAATTTGTCAGTGACGTTAGTTATAACACAGATACATATATATTATTTATTTATTTATCTCATACTGCACATGTACATATAAAAAAGATCTTACAATAAAATTTAGTATTGTACATAACCCAGTGAGGGCGTCGCAAATAAGCTGAAAAAACTAAATCTATAAAGAAGGCTATTGAAAGCTGCCCTAATAACGACGAACGAGCCGTTAATGTACTTTGCTAGTAAATTTTTAAAACGCAAATATATATATATATATAAAATATAATAAATATAATTAATTATATTACATTAAATATTAAATTAAAATATAATTAAAAAATTAATTATATTTTAATTTTTAGAAGTCGTGAATAAAAAAAATGTAAATCATTGTATTTTAGTTTAGATGCAAGAACACAACGCAATTGATTCAGTTCGACCATAGATTAGATAACGTTTTTGTACGTACGTTTCATTTTAAGCATGATTGAATTACCTACCTGAAATATTTGGTTATTTTAAGTACACACATACAATATTAAAGATATAAACTATCTAATGAAAAAATCAATTAAATAGTAATGACATAGAGCAAAAAATAAAACAATGCGACAAAACTTTTTAGACAATATTTAAATGAGACATAATGAAAGTTGCAAAGGAACGTTTTCACAAGAGACCTCTTGCCAATGTCAATGTCACTTGATTTCTGCTATTTGGGCAGATTTAATTTTTATTAATTTTCATTGCTGCAGAATATGATAAGCTTTATTAAATGTGGCAGAGTTTGGCAGATTTGGGAATATTCGGGAAGTTCTTTATTATTTTTGGGAACAAACTGAAAACTCGTTGTTTTCAGCTACTACAAACAAACATCTGAAGCGAAATACAGGACAATGTTATAAACATAACCTACATATATCAACTTTATAACCCCAGCTTCTACAGGCTGTACTCAATTAGCTATTTGATGTTTTGATGGTGAATCATCACAAGTATTGATAGGTCTCCTTAATGCACGTCGTCAAAAACACTGGGTCATAAAATACACGGGATGTCGCCATCCTTCTTTAATTAATGATTATTTTAAAATTTAATTGAACTACGTGAGCTTTCCGTGAGTCTTTCCTTTACCGAATAATACGATTTGTGAATAGGATATTGCTTCAATCTTTTTTAAAATGCATTAATGTTATCCTCTTGTCTAATAAATACAGGGATTTTATTGTATATAAAAATTGAACTATACCATTATAATTGTAAGTCAATGTATACAATGGACCTTTTTTAAACATTTCTAATTTGGGTTCAGGGAGGATTAAATTATATTGACGGCGGGGATTTTTATTAAATTCACAATATATTGGTTGTTTACGGATAAACAATGTTACTTCCATGATATAAAGGCATGGGAGAGTTAGCATATTGTATTTAATAAAATGTGTCTACAACTTTCCCGTTAACGGATATTTACAAAAATACGGAGACGTTTATATTTTGAACTGCATTCCTAAGGTCTGGGGAAATTTATTTATCTACATATACATGTAGAAGAACAATGTGTGCCACGATAGAGTTAACACCCTGTCGAGTCCTTAGACTTACGCGATTGTTAATCTACACATAGGAAATGAAATTGTTTTTTGGATGTAAATCACGTAAAGCGTAAATTAGATTGTTCTTTGGAAAATTAAAATAAGGTAATCGAATAAAAACTTTTGTAACTGTAACAATAGAGTTGTTTACATTAATGTAAGACGTAACTATTATAGATGATGACTTTACCATCGCAGTCAGCGGTGACTGTGGAACCTGTAAAGGACCCGAAATGTTAGTTTTGTTTCAAAATCCAATATACGCAATTTGGATCCCAAATAATTTCATTTCCTATACAATAATCGTGTCCCTGTACACGACATAGAAGGCTTCGTACACTTTTAAGGTATAGGTATAATACTGAAGCGTACTGATCAATTTAAGTGATCATCTCTATATTGATCTAGCATACTAAAATAATGAAATCAAGAAATGAATATGCGAATACTTGTAAAGACTGTCGGCGTTAGAGTGACCGATCTGTTGCCACGCGAGGTAGGCGCACGCCAAGTGCCGCTCTACAGGTTGTTGCGAGATAATCGTGTTCACGTCGTACTCATTGCTCTGCAGATTTTTTTGAACTGCTCTTAGAGATTCCTGAACAAAACAAAATTATATTTATGATGAGTTTATCACACATTGTTGACACTGTGCTTTTGCTAGGCAAGCTGGCCTAATGCGGGTTGGGGACTTCACACGTTTTCCGAATGTTGCGAACCGTCTTCGACGTTCATTTTCTTTCACCGAAAAGCTCTTGGTAAACTTCATAGCTGCGAGCCCGGGTTCGAACCCACGGCCTCTGCTTGAGAGGCGGTAGTTTAAACCATTATGCTGCCAGGAGATAATGCGCCGACATAATTAAAATTATTGTTATAACCCTCAACATTACTAATTTAGAACCTATCTATTGTAACAGTTCCCACTCATGGCAACATAATGAAAAGTCTCTATTTTTACAACCCGTACACTTTTATCTATAATAATGACTATGTAATTATGCGTTTCACCTTTAAATTAATGTATGGGTTGCTTTCCATCGCCTTGGAAATATTCCAGAAAATAAGTGCCGCCATTGACGTATTCTGATCTCCATCCTTAAAATAAGAAAACAATAATGTAGTAAGAGTGTAATGAAATCTTACTTTAATTCATTATTTCCATATTATTTCGCTAAAAGTACCTATATCAATACGAAATTCGGAATAGTGTAGATTCTTATCCCACCAAAAACATTACTGTAATAATCTCACTACAGAGTACTAAACAACCGTCCCCATAAGTGCGTGGAATTTTTATTGAAATCGGTTTTCCAACAAAAAAAGAACGATCTAAATCTGTTCAAAAATGAGTTATCGCGTAACATACATACAAAAAAGAAGTTTTTGAAGTCTGTTAAAAAGGAGCCAAGTCCACTTTGTATAATTAATTGGACTTGCAAAGGACCACTGAAACTCGCTGACGCAGCTAAGGATGTTTTCATAAACGTAGATAAATGGTTATAAAAATACACAAATTTTTAAGCATCGTGCCTAAGTTAACTGTACAAAAGTGACAGCCAATGATAACCTAAAACGACGGTACTAGAAAAACAAATATACACGATTTTGGATCTGCAAACATCTTACATACCTTAACTTAATTTTTATCACGTTTTTGACATAATAATATTATCACCATTTTTTGAACATTTGTTAGAATTATTATTATTTATTTTTGTGTTAATCATTTATTTTCTTCGAAAATTATTTTGCCCAATTTTGACCATAAATTAATAAATTGAATGCTAAAAAAAATTGCATCACCATATTTAAGCTTTTTAAGGTTAATTATTGTTATCTACATTTTTATATTGGTTTTAATGTAATTCATAATTGTCGAGGTTAATTATTTTTTTAATAATAACGCACACACTCGATTAGCCCCGCACTAGGGAAACCCTCGGTCGCGAGTGCCATGGACATACACATAGACAACCACAAATTACACCCAAACTCACGAGATAAATAAATGTAGGCCATACAAATATTTCTCCCGGCCCGGGAATCGAACCTGGGACCTCTGCGTGGCAGTCCGGCATGGTAACCGTATGGCCACGGAAGCAGTTGTTAAGTCATTATCATTGTAGTGCCCTTACAGGGTTCATATGCTGGAATACTATTATGTAACACCTCTGTTAGTCCACATGAAACAATGAATAAATGAATTATGAAAAAACTATCACGTCCAAGTCCAAGTACAATAAATAGACACTTGACCAATGTACCAATTTTCTTTAATATCTATTACAATATTTCGACATCGAACCATTTTACTGCACTAGCTTCATTGATAGTGCAGTAAAAAGTCTGAAAATTTCGACCATCTGTCGTGCGAGTGAGCGCCAAAATTAGGTGTTTATTTCAAATTCATAAGTTTCGAACTACTAAGGCTACATTTTTGTAATTTTCATTACGGTATAATTACCGTAATGAAAATTACAAAAATGTGTTATCAATAATAATAATAGCTAGTCTGAAAAGGTTATAAACCCCCAATAGCAATAATAATACAATACAATACACAATACAATATTTGCGTTCCACAATGTTATAAAAGGTGTTATACAACAGAAAGTTCACACATCATGGGCCCTTTCGGGTACAACAAAACAGAAGGGAAGAGAGTAAGAGCTGTTTTCGAATGCAATAACTTTTTGTTAAAGAGTTCCGTTCAAAAATTGTTTAATATCATAATGGCATTTAAATATTAATAATTCTTTTAGTTTTTTTATTGTACATTTTTACAGCCATGACATGTGGGTTAGAGGAATGTAGAGTTAATGACATTAGAAGTATTAATCTATTTTTGTGACATAATAAAAATAATATAATAGTAACGTAATAGATTACTCGGTCCAAGAATTTATTGTATAAGTTAAGGCGAAAGAAATAAAATATATAATAATAGTATAAAAAAACAGGTACAATATTAAGAAACACTCCCTACTTAAATACTAAAAAATCAATACACAAACTTACCCCGAAAGGACTAAATTATACAAATATGACTAAGTTTAAGTGGTATTAAAATTGGGACAAGATTCAGGGTGGGAACTGGTTAAAGGATCAAAACTAGACGAGCAGAGAATGAGAATGGAACGGAACAAAGTGAGAATGACGAGGCAAAGGAATTAAAGAACGATTCCAAATTTGAAATTAAGTGGCCAGGAACCAGAGCAAAGGTGATAAAAAGACCGGATGACGATGGAGGAAGTCGCATCGTTACAAGTCTATATCAGACCTCCTTCAACAATAAGGGGGTTTGGGCTGTAATTCTCACGCAGGCCCAATGTTGATGGGGAACTTCACACAACATGACGATTCCTATTGAATTGATATTCATTTATTTTTTGTGAAATTACTCCACTAGTTTGTTATACTTATTAATACAAAGATTGAACACTTAGAAAAAAATCCTTCGATCCGGCCAAATTCGAACCGACGTCTTCTAGCAAGCCATACCAACAAAGCCATGGAACGAACCAACGGACTTCACGAATTTTTCTATGTAATAAATATAAATTCCAAAAATCTCAGAGGTGTAAGCCCGGATTCGAAAATCGAAAATAACGCAAAGTGCTACTCTAGGCAGACACCCTAGTAACTTTATTGCGCTTTAGTTCTAATTTATTTTGTTAGAGTAATCGATTCTGATTACCTTGGGTTCAAAACACAGTAGTAAACTATCTAAAAGTTATATAAAGTTACCTACCTAGAATGAGGACTTCCCGGTTTTGGTTCCCGGTAGCATCAATTAACTTTTCTAAATTGTGTCTTTTTAATGTCGTAACTGTTGTTAATTTCATAATACACGGTGTTCCTAGTTTGAGACCATACGTAATCCGTGCGCAGCTTCCTTTCGACTAGGTTTACCTCCAACAATATCAATATCAGCTATTCTAAAGATGAGCCGAAATTCTACTTCCTCTTCTTCTTTTTGCTTATGGTAGTGTTTGATTTCGCAAGATTTTCGTTTGAGGACAATACTGTCTTTTTTGTTATTCAATAAAATAAATATTACCAAGCACACACAAACACACACTAGCACACACACACACACACACACACACACACACACACACACACACACAC